ACATGCCAGTGCTCAATTTATGGGGTTATTTATGCTCATGCCGGATAATGATCCAACGCATAAAGCGCTAAATACCAGACTTTGGCTGTTGCACAACATACCAAAAGTACACTAAAAATAGTTGTAAGCATGCCATCTAGACTGAAAGCAATTATTAAGTCTAAGGGAGATCCTACAAAATGTAACTTTTAACATAAATCCTTTTTTGTTTCCATTTTAGAAAAACGTCTACTTTTTTTAACCCATGTTAAGGAAACACAAAATGTTTTTGCTTTTATTATAGTAGTATAAACTTATTTAATTTCTTTGGAAATGTGCCTGAGGCATATCTTCGTTCTGTAATTTTCCCACTATACAAATAAATTTTCTAGTTCATTGTTTAATGCTTTTTAGTGACGAATTGTTTAGATAATCGAAGGAAGGGTCGGATACATTTTGGAGTAACTGTAAAAAACGAATGCAAACGAACTGATATATTTTTTGCCTCATTCTTTAAAGTTAGTTACAAATTTTTATCTCTAATGGAAAACTCATTATCTACAGCTTCCCCGCTGCAATTCAACCTCTCTACAGACACATAAAACCTAAGCTAGTACAAAATGAAGAAACAAAGAGAGAGTTGAAAAATAAAAACCCACTTATTATGTCAAAACAAACAAAGTAAACAAAAGAACATAGCGTGATATTTTCAACATCAATAAACATATTTTCTTACCTGATTTTTCAGACATTCTTGATTATTACGAATGCTAATCCACAGAAATGATACGTCAAAATTTCACAACTACCTTTCTACGCGTTCTGATCCTAAAATGGGAGCTACGTGTATCAATACATCGGTTTGATAATACTCCGATGGCTAAAAAGCTCAACTGACTGAAGAGTCCTTCAAACGTCACACAGATAGCGATGACGCAACCCGGAAGGGGATATGAGTGTACATAAGTATGATAAGTGCATTTCTTCACAGAGCCGCCGTTCACGGAATTTTGCGAAGTATCTGGTTGTTTAACGAGAAATCGGAAATACCTTAAAAAAAAAAAAAAATCCGTGAAAATTGAAGCGGAAAAAGGCTAATAAGCTTCCAAAGACCATCTTCGGGCATTTTCAAGCATAGTAACGCAATCAATTTATTTGGAAAATATTGTTACATGTTAAACTGCCCGTATTTTGTTGCAACGGCATTGAGTACTGCCACATATCACGTCTTGAACGCGGCAGTATTATTTTTATTGCCCCGTCCCCTCTGTCAACCTGGTCTACTAAAAAACTACACTTTTATGCCATTTTTACTTCCTTATATGAAGTAAAGAAATATTGTTATTGCGAAAAATTTCAAGTATCATATTTCAACGAAAATATCCATTTTGATCACTCTCGAACCCAAACGCAAACCTTCACGCAAAACGATGTTTTTGCGTGACATCTGTACGCACGGACAGACTAAAGGACACTTTTTTCCAAAACGGATTGCAAAATAGATTAACTCAAAAATGAGAAGCCGTAGAACACTGAAATTTAGTATACAAGATATATATATATATATCTACCAAAACAAGCAATTCGGTCAACGAGAAGGAAGACCAAATTTTCGGTGCACAAAACTGAAAGTTTATTTTTGGTTTCAGTCGCCTAAAAGACACATTCCAACGTTATGAGTTCGCTCGTTTTTGAGTTACGCGAGATACCATACATATATACGTACAGACGTCAAGAAAAAAAAAAAAATCTCTTCTGAATCCATTTTAAAACCTTTTTTGCAACCGCTTTTGGGTAAGAAGAGTCCTTTGTTCTGTTCTCACGTGGAGATGTCAGGTAAAAGCATCGTTAAATTGGATTTGAAAGTGGTCAAAATAGATATTTTCGTTGAAATAGGATACCCGATATTTTTCGCGATAACAACACTTCCTTTTCTTCGTATAGGGAAGTAAAAATTCTCTAAAAAGCATTTAACAAACATAAATATATCTTTTACGTTTAAGAAATCTTTCTCTACCGTGTATATCGATTTTGATTGAACTATGTTGTTCTTATGTTAAGGTTTTTGTGCCTCCAGTTAATTGTATTGCTCTAACAGCAAAAGCGATACAATGTCATTGATTGTTCTGAGAACAAGAAAACAAGCACGATAAATAATGTTAAAATATTGGAATTAAAGTTTTCTTCAGAAAAAGAGTTTTAATGTATTTCCCATACGTCATTTTGACATTTTTTGTATAAGGGCGAGTCAAATGAAAGTGAGCCAACCCCTCCTCAGCAAGAATGGTTCGGTCCATCATCTGCGGCGCATGCGCGTAGCACAGAGAAAATTTACGAAATTCATTTACGAAAGTGGCGCGAAAGTGTGAGGTTAAAGTTCTTTAAGGCGCTCTTACACTGGGTTGAAGACAGTAGCGTGACATAATGGACGCTCCAATAGAGGAACAGCGTGGTGTGGTCACGCTTTTGACAGCTGAAGGTGTTTCCCCAACATGAAATTAGTCGCCGTATGACTGCTGTAACGGTGAACATTGCATAGCATTGGCCACTGTGAAGCGTGGAGCAAACGGTTCAGAGAAGACGAAAGTTGCAAAGACGATCCAAACCGGGCCAAAGCCACCTTGCAATCACCTCCGACACAACTGCACAGGTGTTGATGAGCTGATTAACAAGACGAAGGATAAGAAGATGAACTGGCAGATCGTGTGGCATCAGGTCACGGTTCGTTCACACACATAATTCATGATCATCTCGGTTATCAGCTTTTGTGTGCTCAATGGATGCCCAAGATTTTGAATGACTGCCAGAAGATGGAGAGGTTCGGCGCTGCTTTGACCATCTCATCCGGTATCCACATGAGGGTGATGACTTCTGTCTGCAACTGTGACGGAAACAAATCATGGTGCCACCACACAACCTGAAAACCCGCGGCAGCTTCAGTGGAAACATTTGAATTCACCACCCCCGAAGAGCCAAAGGTTGTCTTTCCCCCGGTCCTCGAAAGTGCTATTGACTTTTTATTTCGATCGTCAGGGCCATTACTGATTGAATTTGCTAAACGTGGAGACTATCAATAGTTCGCGATATTGGTGGCAACGATGGATCGGCTTCGTGTCGTATCAAGAACAACGACCTGGAAGATTGACGAATGGTGTGATCTTGCTACGACAAATGCTCGTCCCACATCGCTGATGTGGTTAAGACACAACTGGCAAAGTTCAAAGTGGGACACGCTGCAACATCCTTCATACAGCCAGATTTGTCCCATGCGACTTTCACATTTTCGGGAAACTGAAAAAACATTCAAGGGTAATATATTCGTGTCGGACGACGCGTGAAGGAGTCGGGGTTACAGACTTTTGAAATCGACAGCCCAAGGAATTTTATGAGACAGGGATCGCGGTCATGGTCAATGGGATAAATGTCTTAATGTTCATAGAGACTACCTTTCCATAAAGTACTCTGTTTGTCATATATTCGCATTGGCTCACTTTGATTTGACTCGCCCTTGTAGTTATGTGACTGTATATCACATGGGGATGGCAAATTCCGGCATTGCCAAGAGCAGCAAAAGCTCTAGCTATGCTACTGCCTGACATTAGAATATTTCAATAATTTACTGTACAACGTGTGCTTAAATAAGTTACGTTGATTTACTCAACAATATTTTTTATCAATTTGTTAAGTATCCCAAAAATGCAACATTTAACACACACCATAAAAAACAGTTATGTAGTAAAATGAGGGTTTTTAAATATGAAAAACTGAATGTTAAAAACTGAAAAAACAGAATGATCATTTAAAAAAAAGTCGGTGATTAACAGAAGAAAGTCCTATTCCTCCCGGTAATGAGGAAAGAAAATCACAATCTGCTGAATTTTTTTCAAAGGACAGTCAGTCTATTATTATTTAGTTGCTCCAGTAATTTATCTGTCTGGTTGTCCATTAATATTTTGTGTATTGTTGAATTAACTATTCTCCAAATCTTCATAATGATTACCACCGTAAAATTTTATTTTTGTGAATAGCACGTTAATATTTTAGTCATCATACTATCTTAAAAAAACTGTTATATTAGCTGAGTATAACAGAGGAAGATTTATACACACAGTCCACAGAAGTCCTTATGTTGCCTTTATTTTTCCTAACATTAGTTACAGGGATATACTTTCAGTTATCTTGGGACCGATAATTTTGATATCCAAGATTCAAGAAAAAAGACCATTGCTTGATTTACACGTCGTAGTCATGGGAGACGCTAATGCCGGAGTGCAGGCTTATTTTAATCGGTTCCATCTACAAAATAACGATAATTGCTTTATATGTGATAAGTCTGGGGATGCTAAACACTTCGTCGATGAATGGACGCTTACCCAGAGTGCAAGAGAGAAATATAGAAAGAATGCTAAGGAAGATTTTAGAAGCAATTATTCAGATTTGAAAAGATTTTGCAGAGACAATAATGAAGATTATGTTTTTTCTTATATTTGTTTTTTTCTGGCCAGTCCCATTTTTTGATCATACGGTCAGCTAGGAGGATCGAGGCTGTGCCCTTATAATAATAATACTTTCAGTTGCAAAAATGTTTTAGCACTTTTAAATTTTAAAATACGAATTTCGGGAAACTGAAGAAATCTAATTTTTCATGCAATCCTCTTGTCCCTATACTTATATTTAAGAGAGTTTTATACTCATTGCAAAAATTAAATATAAAAAGTGTCATCTCATACAACAAAAATTGACAGTGGTTTCTAATTTCGAAGTTAGCATCATAGTAAGGTTCTCACACAAACTGAAGATGAAAATGACTAAGAATGCTATGACAATTTAATTCACTTTGCTCATTTTGCAAATTAAAGAAATTAACCTGAGAACTATTCACAAAATTTGGGAAGGTTTTTAAAAAGAAATAAATTCTGGAAGAAATTCTTCATTTGTAAAAGAAATTTATAACAATATGTCATTCAGAATAAATATTATGTCTCTTACGGTATTTCAAAATAAAACTGGAAAGTTAAGAATAACAGTCAACTGAAAAGAGCATTTAATATAATTATTTACGATAGCATACAATCAGATATTGCAGTTACTTCTAAATTATGATATTCATTTTTGAAAAACAATTATACCTCTAAAGAGAGTAATGACAAGCTATGAACTGACAACATTTTTCTAGATAGGAGCTGAGCAAAATTCTCAGCAAGAATTTTGTCTTACTGATTTCCTCCTGGAAAGAGTGCATGGGTTCTTACTGATGAAGCATTTATAGAAAAAAACTTCAAGAAAACAGAGCTATCTTATGCTCTTGATGGCTTTCAAATCAAATAAATAAATAGGAGTACGACTTATAATTCATTCCAGAATAAATTAAGAGACTTTTAACAATTTCAAATATAAAATATGATTGAATACACTGCATTTTTATATGACTAACAATTACTTATTGGTTGTAGTAATTATTTCTGTTTTTATGTTCCATACTGAGTATTTTCCCAGAAAATCTATTCATAATGCTCTCTGTTAACTATGAGGTTTTAAAAAAAAACTTATAAAACATGCATTTAAAAATTCTGAAGTTATTGAAGAATCTCTAAAGAACAGAAAATTTAAAATATATAGTAGAATCCCGCAAACGACTTGCAATATCTTGACATTCCACATCACTCGACAACTTTTTAGGAAATTTTTTAAGGTATCCCTAGGCCAAACAGATCAAATGTGTATGACTTTCCTATTCTGCTCAAGGATTTGAGTGTTTTTTTTTTTTTCTGTAATTTTTGCATTGTGCCATTAATTTTTCGAACTGCCTAAAAAATTTCAAGATATGTTGTATTACTTGGCAATGCTGTTTGCTTCTTTCAAGGACACGAAGAAAATCAGGTAGCGGCTGGTCGCTGGCTCACTTCTTTTCTATTGTTACAAAATGTTAGACTTGTCTGAAGTTTTGTGACTGCATCTTATTGCAAACTTAACTCGCACCAGTTCATTGCGGGTATCCTTCCTCAGTTCACATCCAGGCATATAACTCTTACATATTTTTGGGAGCTTTCGATATTCTGTCAAGTGAAAATATGATTTGAAAAGAAAAACTAATGTGACAATGTAAATGAAACTAGATGCCATAAAGAGACTCAACAAAGGGGAAAGTGCAAACAAAATTACCGTGGATTTAGGTGTTGGACAGACTGCTTTCATAGGATGGAAAAAAAAAAAAAGAGGTCCAAAATCGAGTCTTGGTAAGTAAAAGAGCAGGCATGGATAGTTTAAAGGAAAGAAAAAGTGAGCGAAGTGCTTTATTTGTGTTTTAGGCAGCAGAGGGAGGACAGTACATCCATTTAAGAGCCAATTTTACAAGACAAAGCCGTAAAATTTAAAGATGAATTTGAAGGAGAGCCTGGATTTACTACCAGTGCTGACTAGCTCGACAGATAGAAAAAGTGGTACAACCACCCACAGATCAATGGGCAAGAGTAGAATTTTTTTTTAAATTCACATATTATTTGTCCGTAGGATCAAAATATTCGATTTTTAGAATTTTTTAATTTAAACATTATAAAAATAAAATGCATGCATTTAAGGGTTAAATATTAAAAGAATTCTGAAAAATCCACCCCTTATTCTGTAAAACTCGAAAGTCTCTCACTTTACATTATGTCGAGTTTGTGGGACTCTACTGCACTGCATTTACTGCCTCATAAGTAAAATGCATTTAAATTTCAGAGACAAAAGTGTCAACTACCATTTACAAATGTAAATATTATATATTACCATAAACTATTATAGTTCCTCAAATATCTGCAGTAACACCTCTCAAGTTTCTATGTATAAAATGATAATTTTAATATGCTAAAATGAACAAACAATGCAAAACAAATGAATAGATATGTGGAAAATAATAATTAGTAACTTATTTATACTTATTAAGAAGTTAATAAATAGTATTGCTTCTAAAAATGTCAAATATCCTTTTCATATTCCAATTGCATACTTCATTTGATAACTTTTTTTTTTAAGTTGTATATTATTCATAATAAAACTGCACAGTATAATTACTCTTTAAGCATGTAATCCACGCCTGCTTAAGAACATCTAAGCCTGGCACTCTGAGCACAGTATTCTTTCTTCAACTATTTATGTCCAGTTGCCTTGCTTTTGTAATAGAAAAACAAGTTTACAAAAATTAGGTTTTGATTGAAGGGACTAGACCTCACTGCATATCAGACCCTGAATATAACTGTAACTCATCTTTTACTGCATCTTTGAAGAGCCCTGCAGCACTTTCATTCAAGAACTGAGTTTCTTTAGCTATACTCTCGGCTAGGAGGAGATACTTCGATTCCAACTTATTCACCTGGTCTAGCAGCACACCTGGCGTACATTCTTCTCTCTCATAAAAATTCTCATGCATTTTGTAAAGCTCATGTTTCCTAGATGAAGGTCTCCTATTATTTGACTGATTGTCCTGAAATACCTCAGGTGGAAATCTAATATTTTCTGTAAAAACAAATGGCTTGAAGACAGATCGAGAAGGATCTGGAGTAGCAGTAAACCAATGGCAAGAAATAGCACCAGCCTCCTCTTTTCTGAGTACTGAAACTTGACTCCCGGTTGAAACGAAGCTTCCAGAAGACATGCATATCCCACTCGGTTTGTCACGTAAAATTTTAATCATATCGGTCTCGCAAAATGATCCGTTACAAGAAGTGGCCAACAACCGCTTGCCACATCTATATCTATGACTTTCAAACTCATCTTCTTCAAGACCAAAAGCTTTTTTAAAGTTGAAGGGACCATTATTGGGATGCCAGAAACCTTTATCTTTAGCAAATTCTTCCAAATTATCACTCATGAGATCTATGTTAGTAGTAATGGATAATTCGTTCGATATGTTTCGAAAACCCCTCTTTATGTTTTCTGCAGCCCAGACACTTCCTGCACACTCTAAGATCCACACTTCTGAGGGATCAGCAATTAGAAAGCTGTTGTGATAAGTAAAATCTTTAAAAGTTTCCGAGCAATTGCCTCCCATACCATATGCTTCGATCAGTGATACAATGATTTTCAAAGCCTCAATAGCTGTGCTAGAACGTTCTAATCCTAGACGAAGGAGATCCATTCCTAATAATTTTTCATCAGCGTCACTGTCACTGCAAAGTTTTGTCCATACTGCTTCATTTCCAATGCAAACACCATGCTCATTGGCCCCCATTTCTGCCCCCCACATCCAAGCGGGCTTGCTGAGGATTACGGCATGAGTATGTTCCACTTGATCGATTTCTATATAAGTGCATTTTAATTTCGATGGCATATCGTGATCGGTAGCAGAAACGTAAATAACTTCTTGAACTTCATCACACGGACGGTCCGAATTTTTTCCAAAAACGATGCAATCCTGTTTTGTACCAGGTGGCAAAGCGGCAAAAGTATCACATGAACTAGGTTTCATTGTACAATCAGTCACAATCATTATCTATCATGCTTAAAAAACATGTCACAGAAGAACTTATTTTCAGAATTTTGACATAGCAGAGAATTTCCATGTAATGGCTAACTATGACGTAATACCTGAACTGCAGATATTTTAACGACGCCGAACATCTGCTGCCATCTACCGACGAGAAATGCAAGCATCTACTGTTTCGCCATTTCTGTCTAACTTTTAATAATGTAATCAACATTATACATGATTCAATTAGATTATAACTACGGTTTAAGATGTTCGGCTAAAAGTAACAGAATTAAAGAATTTTAAAAATAATTCTGAAAGAAAAAAATTCATGAAACAGAGAAATTAAGACAAGGAATCTCAAAGATGTATATTACGCTTTCAAAATATAAATAAATACATAAATAAAGAAGATCACCTTATATGCATCTTAAAATTTATTTAAATAACTTTAACAGGAAATTTTTAATAAAGAGAATTTTACTAAAGTTTCAATGGAAAATGAATGATAAAGTAAATCTTAGTAACTGTCTTTTCTGCACTTGTTTAGTTTTTTCTTTTTTTTTCACCACATCTTAAAGGTGCAAAAAAAAACCTTTTATGTATTATAAAATGATATTTCGAATTCTCCATAACCTGTGACTAAGAATTTATATAATATTATATGTCTAATGCTGAATTATAATGTACACCTACACTCGGAGTCGTACAATCATTTGCTTCGTGAAACACTCATGAAATTTTAACTGTTAGCATTTAGAAAAAAAAAAAAGGTAAAAACAAAATAAAAATTTGAAACTCATAAACAAAGAACTCCTAAAATTTTTATTAGATGAATAGTTTGAAGTAAGATGTCTAAATACTATAAATCTTTATGGAAAATACAGCAAAATTTTCACCGTTAATACAACGAAAAAGTAACCATTCACGTTTATTACACAATTTTTTTTGCAAGATTTCAGAACAGTCATAAAATTTATAAAGCACGGAAGGAATCTCGCATTTTCTAACAAAATGTATTAAAGAATATTTTATAATTATTAATTCCACAGCTAATGTACGAAAAAGTTGACTTGAGTACCGGTAGATGGCGCTTTGCGCTTTTGGTAACAAATTCACTGATGGAGAAAGTCGTAAAGAATAGTAAGTCATGAAAGAAAAATTATTCTGTAACTGTAATCTTGTATAATATTACATATATCTGTAAATTAAATCTCATTCACGATTTCAGTAAAATGGATAGTCAGATTGTTTTAAATGATTACACATTTATATTTGCTGGGAGTTCTAAGGTAGACATTTAACACACAATATCGGATGCAATGGTTGAATTTAAAATTTTAAGAACCGGTTCACTGCCTCAGTAAAAGAAAATTGAGTTAATAAATACGCGGATTAAAATCTAGATAATTTCTACATTGGGAAAACATGGAAGTAAAATTTTTCTAAACATATAAAATACCTCTCTCAGAATAATTATTTCAAAATAAAGAGCTAAATACTTCGAATTTAAGCCGCAGTACGATTAACATTAGGAAACTAGAAAAATAATAAACAATTTAGCCGGCCTCAATAGGATTTTAAAACTGGACGGAAAATAAATAAATAAAAATGACTGTATAATAGGTATTGTTAAAAATGTAAAGTTTCAAAATATCTAACCCTTATATGATTAATAAGAATTCTTAGTAAACAAAATATTTATTACACGAAAAGCAAAGCATTATAACTACATGATTAAAAACAGAAATAAATATAACAAACTACTGTCAATTCTTAAAAACTAAATAAGAATTCAAATTTAAGAGTTCTTCGCAGATACTGAAAAATAAAAAAAAATGTTTTTAATATTCACTGAAATAAGTATAAAGCACAAATATAATATAATAATTAAACTTGCAATCTTTTTCAGATGTATTACCACCTTCGATATCTTCACTATAAGAGCCTGAACTCTCATTTTAACCATTGCACCAGAATGCCATTTAAAACATTCGTAATGCAACACTTATGAAAATCCCGCCCCCTTTTTTGATAATTTCATCGGAGATATTTTTGCAGGACCACCGAACTATTACAGAAGATAATGATCGTTTTATTTTACCAGTTGTCAAAGAATGATCTTCTCGGTTTAACCATACTTCATAATAGAAAAACTTTCGCTTCCGGTGGAACACTGAAACTACCTACTCAAAATTTTGTACTAGAGGTGAAAGCCGCTGAGTTTCTTGTGCAACCACATGCATAAATGGGTAGCAATAGGACGCCATCATTTCGCATATAGTGGAAATTTTAAGAAAAATATGCAGTGTTTCATCAATATAAGTATTTTCTTCATGTGATCATTTGTAGAGGGACACAACCTTGCTTTCTGTGCAATCAAATTTCAATATTGCTGGCGAATTGAATATTTCAATATTGCAAGTTATTTTCTTAGTGTTGATGTCTTCAAATATTTTCGCATTTTGTTGGCGTGACAATTATGTATTCATATATCTTGTTCTCTAACGAGGGATGAAAATCTATCCTCACGATTGAAAGATTTTCGAATTTCTGTAGCGAGAGAAATGACAGCACTGCTAAAACGTGAAAAACGTGGACAAAAAAGTGAATACATCAAGACATGTGCTAGAAAATACAGATGCTTTGCTCCATCCTGAGATTCCCCAATAAGAAGCAGCACATAGGCCAATATATGGGACCGATTTGCAATGTGGTTTATGCAGTAAAAAAACTGAACCCCATTGAACAAAATGGCAATGTACAGTTTTGAATGTTGGACTCTGCCTAAATGTTACTGTTTTCTACAGTATCATTTAAAATAAATCAAGGCGTTTAGTTCTAGTGATATCGTAGTGTAATTACCATATTTTCTATAACAACTTTAAAAAATTAACCAAAGGGTTAATGGGCTTGTTAACAGACACATCACGCAGTTCCAGTTGACCTAGATATACATGAGATATATATGATGCTAAAAATATTCTCTTTGAATTTAAGCCTCATCCTAATTTTAAATCTTAAAAACCTGAATAAGAAGTGAGGCTTACATTCGAAGTAACATCGTACCTAAAAGAACAAGAAAACGATTATGAGATAACAAATTTAACTTAAAGGAGGCCAAAAGACAATTTTCATTACTGCGCTTCTATGTAAGTTCATATCAACAATAATTAAATAAAGTACAAATAATATATTTCCTGGTCAGAAGCATCAACTTGGTACATATATCTTTTAACATAAATTTGTTTAGCGCGTGCTGTCCGGCTATGCTGGCATACTGCGACTCTTTTGGCAAGTGGTTCAATTTCAGCAATAGCGCATTGGATTTCTATTTCTAGTTTAAGAATTATCTGTGGTCTGTTGGCACAGACCTTGTCCTTTAGAAAATTTCAGAGGAAAAATCGCATAGAATAAGATTTTGGACGGCCAATTTAACATCAGCATTTCTAGAACGCACACGACCAAGAAAACGTTGTGTTAACCATGGAGGTAGGAAAGGAAGGACCTACCTCCATGGTGTTAACTAACAGATCGAAGGTTTCTCTTGCTGTATGGTATGTAACACCATACATTCTGTTGAAACCACATTTCTTTGAGGTCCATATCGTCTGACTGATCCCACAAATATATTTAACATAATGTCATGATACCGTGTTCCATTTACAATAAAAGCTTGGTCATATATTTCAATAGATTGGTAATTTAACAATAACAATATTTGTTTTTCGGCACAGTGATACATTTTCATTACCGTCAACGACTGCAAATAATGGAGGTCAAAAAGGGCTGTACATATAACTAATGGTGGGGATTTGAATCCAGCTTATCTGATGGGTCATCTCTTATCACAATTCAATTTAAAAATCGATTCGCATAATTAAAAATATTTCTTGAGTCAATTTCATCCTATCGTTTTCTAACGGCTATCAAGTAAAAGTAAAAACTATCAAGTTTTGACAAATTATAAAATTTTACTTACGGAAATGCCACCAAGTAAGGGATTAAGTCATCAAGTTTGGTTTGATTTATTTGATTACTGTAAAGCACTCGACGGCTATATGCCTAACAGAATAGATGCCTTCCTAGAGCAGCCAACCCGTTCGTCGGTATTCGAATCCCGGACCGGACTACCAGCGTTTAGCGACTTTAGGTCAACAAACAGCTTGATTTTGATTTTTAATGAACCGTTTAAAATTAAGCAATAAAAGACGGCGACAACTTTAGTTTGGGGGTAGGTTTTGAATTCTTCTATCAATTTTGCGGGTGATCAGATATAGATCCCTCTTCCTCAGAAGGAAGAAAAATGCAGAATTTCCCCTTAACTTCTGATATATATGTATATCATTAAAGACAAAGTTTTTAAAAGAATTGTTTTTTAATTATGAAATGTATATATATAAAATTACAAAACAATTCTTTTGAAAACAAAATTTAAACATGCCTAGTATTTTCGCGCATTTAAGCTGCAGTCTTTAATATACTATATATACATATATATAAAATCCATCAAAACATCTACGAAGATAGATTTTTTTTTTCTTATTTTTATTTTTACATTGGCATGTTCTCTTTCAACGAGGGATGCCCTCCAAGTATTAAATCAGAGTTCATCATCAGTCAGGTAAGTTTCAGAAAAGTTACCAACAGTTCATAAACAATTTTTTACCTTTTCCTAATTAAAATGCTGTGAAAATACCTATTTATATGTTTCTTGTTGTATTTATATTAAATGAGTTAAATTGAATTGGTGTTTTGAAGGATAAGTTAAATTGAATTGGTATTTTGAAGGATAAGTTAAATTGAATTGGTATTAAATCAGAGTTAATCATCAGTCTCAAGATTACATGACTTAAATTGAATCAGTATTTTGAAGGATATTTTTTCTCATCGTTTAATGCTAAGAAATAGTCGTAGAAAAAGCGTAATTACAATAAGTGGCGTCTACTGTAAGCATTGATGAAAGGCTTGAAAACACTTTGTAATTTTAACTCCTAGATTTTTTTTGCAGCTATATCGTTCAAAATTATTTTTAAGGTATTTAGTTTTTAAGGTACAGCTTCATCTTCTTAACATTAATCGGCCTAGTAGTGAGAGAGAGAGAGGTGTAA